CTAGGGGACAAAACGCAAATATACAGCTCTCCAATCCAGCTTGGAAATGGCTGGTGTGGTTGCTATCTGCATACCCAGAGAAACACAGAAGACAAACTGAGGAGATATGAGTATTTACTATGTATTGCAAAACCTGGTGTATTGCAAATATGGAATACTCAATAAAAATACATCTCTACATCCCAAAGAGTACAACAAGGAGTAGTTTAAAAGTTCAGCAAGAAATAGTTTAAAAGTAGTGATATATATATTTTAAACTGGTATTTTCTTCTGTGTTGATTTGGCAGTTTTGCCCATCATTTGATATTGCATATACTATTCCAATTTTATGCATTTTTAATGTCTTAATAAATTAATTGGATTTTTCTTTTCTTTTCTTTATTTTTTTTAGGCTCACTTTTAGGCTCTCTACTGTTTTGCCTTTTTTTTCTTCCTGCATTATCTACTTTTTTCTCTTGCCCCCTACAACTTTTTCCTTGACACTTCTTTTTTATTTCTTTTTATGTACTATATATTTTAACAATTATTGTACTTCCTTTAATACCTAATTTTCCAGCCATCTAAAGCATTACTTCCTTTTTCAATTTCAGACTTGAGAGTGGTAAAGATTAACAATAAGTTTTTATGGTTTGTTTTTATGCTATTTATTCTGAAGTGGTTGCAGTTAACGATTATTATTATCTCCTCTAAAAGTGATAATTTTGGGAATTAATCATAGCACCAGAATCATGTTGAGTGTTTTGACATAGAGATATATCTTCAGTCTGGTGCACATAGTAAAGAAAACAGCAGCTCATAAAAGAACATCACAAAATAATAAAGGATATAGCTATCCTAATAGCTATGCAAATATCAACAAAAAATATAGGGAACATGAAAAAACAATGCCATAAGACACATCCAAACATACTTAACACTCCAATAACTAAACTCACAAATATCAAAGTAGAGGAAATAATGTAAAATGAATTTAAAAAGTTAACTTTTAAATTACAAATAAACTAAAATAAGAAGTAAGAAATAGACTAAGGAAGAAAATGGAGAATATGAAAGAAAATTTAAATAAAGACATTTTTTAAAAATACGAGCAGAAATTTTGAGAGAATTGCCAACTCACTTATCAAAGCACATCAATGTGAATGACAGTAGATTTCTTAGCAGAGTTCTAAAGTTCCGGAAGGCACAAAATAATCTATTTCAAGTCCTAAAAGAAATAGTTGCCAACCTCATTTACTGTACCCAACAAAGTTATCCTTAAGAATCAAAGAAGGAATAAAATCCTTTCAAAATAAACATAATCCAAAGGAATTCATGAAAACAAAGCCAGCACTGCAAAGTATACTGAAAGAAATCATGTACACTGAAGAGAAAGATAAAAAATACTAAAAAGAGACCATGGTAAAGAATAAATCAAATTAGAAGAATAATTAAGCAAATAAGAACTAGGACTTCTTCAAAAATTGTAAAAACAACAAAATGGCAGGAAATAACATATACCTGTGTATAATAACACTGAATGTAAATGGTCTTAATTTTCCAATTAAAAAATCTAAACTAGCAGATTGGATTTTCAAAATCCAAAATCAATTGTTAGTTGTTTCCAAGAAATATACCTCAAAGCAAAGACATTCACAAACACAGTGTAAGAGAAAAGAAAATGAGATGCCCTGCAAATAGAATCCAAAAACAAATAGGATGAATCACTTTCATATCAGTAAAGCAGAATTTGAACTCAAATTAGTAAGAATAAGGGCTGAGGTTGTGACTCTGTGGTACTGTCCTTGCCTTGCATGTATGAGACACTATGTTTGATCCTCAGCACCACATAAAAAAATAAATAAATGAATAAGCAAATAAAATGAAGGTAAAAAAAAAAAAAGTTGAAAAAATTGTAAGATGGGACAAAGAAAATTGTTCAATATTGGTAGAGAACAATCCAACAAAAAGATGTAATGATTGTAAATGTTTATACTCCAAATGTTGGTGCACTAAATTACATAAAACAAATATTACTAGATATAGATGGATTGATAAAACCCAATACAACACTTCTGTACACCAGTATCATTAACAGATCATCCAGGTACAAAGTCAACAAAGACACATCAAATTTAATCTACACAATAGATCAATTAGACTTAACAGACATCTACAGAATATTTTATCCAATAACAACTAAATAAACATTCTTTTCATCTTCTCGTGGACATTACTACAAACTGATCATAAGATTAGTTCATAAAACAACTATTAGAAGATACAAAATATCTTGCATTATTTTCAACCATAATGTAAATAAATTAGAAATGAACAACAACAAAAAAACTACAGACTAAAGAAATTGTATAAATACATAGAGACTGAACAACACACCTTTGATCAATAAGTAGAACATTGAGGAAATTAAGAGCAATTCAAAAACTCTTAGAATCAGATGGAAATGGAAACACATCATACCAGAATATCTGGGTACAGGGAAGGCAATTCTAAGAGAGAACTTTAGATCTATGAGTGCCTATAAGAAAAAAAGAGAGAGAGAGAGAGAGAGGAAGAGAGAGAAAGAGAGAAAGAAAAAAAGAAAAAAGCAAAGAAAGAATGAATGAATCTCAAACAAACAACCTAGTGGTAGATCATAAGATCTTGCAAAAGCAAAAACAAACCAATCCAAAATCTAGTAAAAGAAAGAAGTATTAAAAAATCATAGCTTTAAATTAAAGAAATAGAAACAAGATGAATAATACAAAGGATAAATGAAACAAAGAATTGGTTCTTTGAAAAAATAAATAATAATGAAACCCTTTTATCCATACTAACAAAAGAAAGAGTAACACAACTCAAAATAAAAATAGTCCCTAATGGGACTATTTTAATAAATTATTAAATATAGAGAAAATGGGCAAATTTCTAGGCACATACAAGCTACCAAAACTGAACTAAGATGATACAAAAAACCTTAACAGACCAGTAATGAAGGATCAGATGGTTTCATAGCTAAATTTATCAGATATATAAAGAAGAACTCATACAAGTATTCATCAATTTATTCTGGAAAATTGATAGGGAGAGAACACTTCCGAAGAGATTCAATGAAGTGTTTATCACTGTGATACCAAAACTGGATAATTATACTTCAATGGAAGAAAATTACAGACCAAAAATCATTGGTGAACATAGCTGCAAGCATGCTCACTAATAATAGCAAATTGAATTCAATATACACTAAGGCCATATACCATGATCTTGTTGGTTTTATCCCTGGAATACAAAAATCAATTAACATTCACAAATAAATAAAAGTAATACACCACATAGGTAGAATCAAAGATACAAATCTCATGATATCTTACTCCAGTGTGAATAGCAAGCATCAATACTACAAATTCCCACCAGGTTCAGTGGCATACCCCTATGCTCTGATCCACTCTGGAGGCTGAAGCAGGAGGATTGAAAATTGAAGGCCAGCCTCAGTAATTTAGCAAGAAACTCAGAACTTATCAATATACTGTCTCAAAAATAAAATAAAAAGGGCTCCATAAAAATATAAAAGAAAAAATTAAGAATAAGTATTTGGGAGAGTGCTAGGCAAAACAAACCCTTTTACACTTTTGGTGGGGATATAAATTAATACAACATATTATATAAAAAATAGTATGGGGGGGTTTCTTAAAAAGCTAAAAGTAGACTTATGATATGATACACCTCTTCCTGATATTTATCCAGAAGAATTATAGTCAACACACTTTACAGATACATACATACCTGTGTTTATTGAGCAAAATTCACAATATCCAAGTTATAAAATCAGCCTACAAATGAGCAGGTAAAGAATATGTGGTGTATATATACAATAGAGTTTTATTCAGCTATACAGAAAAACAAAATTATGCCATTTGCAAGAAAATGCATGGGACTGCAGATTATAATTTTGAGTGAAATAAGTTAGACTCAGAAAATTATCATGTATTCCCTCATATGTGGAAGCCACAGGGAAAAAGAACAGAGGGAAACGGGATCACCATGAAAGTAAATGAGTGGCCATTAGCTGAAAGGGAAAAGATTATAGGGAAAGAGGAAGGTAGGAATGACGGGTATTAGTGAGTAATTTGATCAAATTGTGCTCTTGTGAATATGCAGATATTCTACAATAAAAGCCACTGTTCTGTGAAATTCGATGTTCAATAAAAAACTGATGTCAGAGTACATGCATGCATCAATATGAAAATAAATTTAATGTGTGGGCTTTGTTTGTAAAAATGAAAATAAAGCTGATCTTCATAATGTGTTTTTTGGTCCTGGGGTTGTAGCTCAGTGGTAGAGCACTTGCGATGCATGTGTGAGACTGGGTTCAATCCTCAGCACCACATAAAACTAAATAAATAAATAAAGGTGAAAAAAATGTTTCTTTTCATGTTTGAATTATAAAAATTATTTTCTGAAAGAGGAAATGACATTAACACTAAATAGAATTATATATATAATTCTATAATTTTATAATAAAAATATATAATCATATATATATATATATATATGATTATATATTTTTATAATATATATATCACACACACACACACACACACACCAAGGCCTTTAATCCTCATAACAATACAATACATTATTATTATCCCTATTTTACAGGAAAGTGAGTGACAGATGTGTTAGGTGCCTACCAATATCCTGAGATTGACAGGTTGTGAGATTGTATTTTAAACTTCATCAGAATCTGTTAATCATTATGGTGCCATCATGTAGGGAGATAGTTTAAAGCTTTACACATGATGGTACTCTGAGAAGGGGGAACAGGGTTCAAGCAAAGGAGGTGTGAAGGAAGGCTGAGAGCATTTTGTAAAAGTTCATCTCTGTGTTTTGATATAAGCCCTTTGAAACTACAGTGCAACAGATAATATTGAAATTATATTGGAACACATTTTCTTTTTGATACATTGAAATGCACAGATTATTTGAACATAGGAAACTAATGGTTTTCTATTCTTTATCTTCAGGATTTCTGATTCAGGATGGCCCTTTTGGATCTTGTGAAAATAAGTACTGTGGCTTGGGAAGGCACTGTGTGATCAGCAGACAGACAGGGCAAGCAGAATGTGCCTGCATGGACCTTTGCAAACGGCACTACAAACCTGTGTGTGGATCTGATGGAGAATTCTATGAAAACCACTGTGAGGTACACAGAGCTGCTTGCCTGAAAACGCAAAAGATTACCATTGTTCACAATGAAGACTGCTTCTTTAAAGGTAAATACCGGTGAACCTGAAGTGTCATTTCTATTTCTTTCCTAGTCTCTACTAGTCACTTTTGCTTAAACTCTAGTATGTTTTTATATCAGCAAGATATAAATAGGGAAAAGAAAAAGTTAGCTTAATTATGCTGATAAGCAGCAGTGTGTAGAAATTTACATGGAAACAGTTCTGATACTACATTATGAGAATAAAGCTAGCCAAAATATGACTCACAATTTAATATAGCTTTCAGCATTGCACCATATGGCTTCCCAATCATGGAGTTATGTTAGGGACCCAAGGTGGCCAATTCAGTCTACAGTTAAATCCACCCAATGAAAAGCACCTGGAGTGGAATTGAGGGAATAATGAATGCCAAGCCATGCTGTGATAACATCTCATTTTTTTCCCTCATTAAAAGTGATACTTTCAGTTTGTACCAAATAATTCAAATTTTATGGAATCTGCAATTTCCCACTAAAATAAGTATGAAGAAATCATACTAAACTCAATTAGTGAAACTGAGATGACAATAGTTAAAAAAATTTTAGGGATTAGTATTTATTTTCATGTACTTGAAATTATTGTTTTATTGAAAGATATTTCTAAATTCGTAATTTGATATGTTATTTTAACATGCTGTATAATAAATCATCAAATATATTAACATTTATTTACTTATAAAGAAATTCATTGTTTATTTTATTCTGGAGAAAATATTTTATGCTAATAATAATTATGATCCAGAATGAAATTTTAGAATTAAATGTATAGAACTTCCTCCTTCTAAAAATTTTAATGGTCAACTTGATTCCTAATCTTTGGTTGGTTATAAGTTCCAGTTTTTCAGAATGTGCCTGTGTTTATAATTGAAAAATTATGTGACACTTTTATTCTTAATTAAAATTTATGGCTGAAATATGCTATTGCACTTCACTACACATTTGTTAAGATAAAATAAACACTACTTTGTTTTTTTCTTTTTTTTTTTGATCATGGTAGAATAGACTATTATTTTTAAGGTAATAAAAATGATAAGATTGGGGATGGGGTTATGGCTCAGCGGTGGAGAGCTTGCCTAGCATGGGCGAGGCCCTGGGTTTGATCCTCAGCACCACATAAAAATAAATAAGTAAAATAAAGATTAAAAAATGATTAGACGTTTCAAATAATACATGATATAGTACACCTTAGTATGGTAACTAGGAGTCAAACATAAGAAAACACATAGTATTCTTTGTGTAACTTAAATGTGCATATAGAATATTTCATCATACTACATTCACTTCTTTTGCCAAATCAATAGCAGCAACTTTAGTCTTTGTTCATTACCCTTTTGTATAAAGTCTATTTTACAAAAACTTAAAAATTTTAAATTGGTTTTATTAACATTGTACTTTGGTGTTCATAGAAAAATATTTTTCTGTGATTTTGACCTCAGATGGTACAGTGGAAATTATATTACTGTTTTGAAATGTCATATAAAATCAGTAAATGATATATAATAATGTAATATGTTAACTTAGTATCATATTTCAAGTTAATGTTTTGTTTACCTGATGACCTAATTATACAGACACATATGATATTAAATATCATCTAGGAAAACAATGCAGTATACTAAGAGTTTTACAGAAGGATACAGTAAGCATGAGGTCACTCAATATATCTAAATCAGCTTGAAAGAGATGATGTAAGATAGATTATCTTTCTCATAAGTCTCCTTCATAAAAAAAGTATTTGAAACATTTTTTACTTCAGACATATATTAAGCATATTTATTAGATCTGTATTTCTTTTATGCATTCTCATCATAGATAGTATTGAAATTACATTTATATTATCTGAGTATTTACCAAAGTTTAGCAGTTCTCAGAACCCATGGATTTTCTCTTTGTTTGTTTTGATTATTTGCCTAAAAAATAGTTAACTCATAAAATAACTTTACTTCAGCAGAAGAGAAGTAAAAACTATAGAACAAAGTGAATTAACTGTCTTATTAGTATGTATTTTACCAAGTATATGATGTAGCACATTCGGTACAACTGAAATCCTAGGATTGTTGTGATGACTAAAATTAATTTTGTGATTATGGAACTTCACTTGTTGCTTCCCATAATGGTCCAATTGAAAAAGAAAAATCTTTAAATTCAAGAACTACAAAACCTTGTGTTTAATTACATAGTTTTTCAATAGAAAAACAAAACAAAGGAAAACAAGCCAAATAGAAAAAAAAATTGCTACTTCATGACTAAAAAAGACTGTAAAAACCTTAAATGGACGGTCAAGGAAAAGAGCCAAATCATGTTATGAGCTATTTTGTTTTTAATAAAACTGTACTGGAACAAAGCCACATCCATTTGTTCAGTAGTTTTGCAAAAGGATAGTTCAATACTGTAGTTGTAATCAATTTATTTCGGCACATAAAGCCTAAGTAATTTTTAATTGATCTTCAGAAAGTTTGTTGATACCCACATTAAAAAATTGCTGGTACCTTAAAATTCAATAAAATCTACTTTAATAATATTACCAGATATTTATTCATCTATATTCTCTTGACTATTGTTTTGACTGCTGGGATGGATCTGTGTGGTAAAATTGAATAGAATTAAACACACAAACACAAACATATAAATGAATGTAAATAAAATGGATAGAACCAAAGTCAATATTCTGCTTGTAATATAGTACTATAATGTTGCAAATATTAGCATTGGAAGAAACTTGTCCAAGGATTCATGGAATGTGTATTATTTCTTAAAAATGCATATGCATCTATAATTATCCCAAAATTTAAAAACAACTAGTGAAAGGGACATAAAAAATATTAGAAAACACTTAAAAATGTTTAAAGAAGGTAAAATTTGTATCATCCATTACTTATTTGCAATTTAAGGTAAGTCCTATTTGTTTCCTATATTGAATTTATCAGATATATGTTTTTTATTTATATGTAAAATTATTTAAATAGATTATATACCCATAAGTAGTGATTAATTGTTTTAAGATTTTAACTCCAGGTTTAAAGCATTTATCTGTATAATGAAATATTATATATGTAACCTATATTTATAAATCTTCTTCCTGCTATTTATATTACATGCTAAAATGCCTATCAATTGCAGCATTGGCCATTATTGACTTTTAAATGTATACATGAATTTAATAAGCATTTTCTTTAGTGATTTATGATTTGTAGATTTACATAAAACATATAATGCAGCTGGGACATAATATTTTTTGAATTAATTTTCATTCATATTTGTGTGATCATGAAATACCTGGGTACAATATGATATAGAATATTGTGGCATCAAACACTTTGTGACAATATTCAACATAACATAAAACATTCCATTCTTATATGCTGCCTAGCTATATATTTTTTGTGAGAAGAGAATTTGACCTCAAAGTCATTTCTGAAGGGATTCCTAACCCCTGCAATTCACATCAGCACTTACAGCAAGCACCATTTCCTCTCACTCTGACACCAGATCATTCTGTCAAACAAAACAAAATTTACTTATGCAGTGTGTACATGTAAGCTGGATTAAAAAAAAAAAAAAAACTCAAGCTCGAACCTATGATAAAATGAAGAGGGAATTAAACTTTTTATGAGAAAGTCAATTGAACAGAAACCCTTTTGCCATTTACTATGCTGAGAATAAAACTGCCATCAAGGCAAATGTTCTGTGCACTTAACGTGCATCATGAACAATAACAACTTTAGGAATATGGTTGTTAAAGCTATTTGCACATTCTTTGAATGAGTTTCGACATCCTTTTTCCTTGGTATGATCTTAAGAATCATTTGTATTTCACTTTTTAATTGCTTCTTTAACCTGATATTTTTAAAAGAGAATTGTAGAAAACTTAGGCTAGAATCTTATATTTCAAAATATATCAGTAAATATGTACTAATCCATGTGTACTTTTAGGTTGCTTTTTTTGTTTTGAAAGGACATCTTTGTAAAGATGGGATTTTTTTCATGTTTAAATAGACTTCCATACAATTTCAAGAAAATAAGTCTGAATAAATATATAAGCTTTGATAAATGATCCCCAGATTTTAATTTGCTCATTTTCTGTTTTTTTTTTTTTTTTACCTGTATTAGTAAGCTGAAACTGCAGGATGATAGTGAAGTTAACCCTCAGCCAATGTGAGACAATGATAAAAGTAGTTTTCCAGGTCAGAATATAAGCACTCAGAAGGCTACAATTTCTCTGAATTCATTCACCACTCATCAATTTCATTAAACACTTTCACAGTAATTTTAAAAATGAAACACAACTCAATTAATTTTATGTCACAAAATTCAGAAAAAGCTAACAGAGATCCATCCAATATTAAGGAATTAATCAAAGAGTTTTGCTGCTTTTCTCCTCACTAATCAAAATGGGTACTTCAGAATGCTACGAAGAACCCATTATCTGATATGCTTTAGGGATCATTGTAATACATACACTTGTTTATTCATCAGTTATTATTAACATCATACCAAATATTTTCCTCTTCTGATTTTTAAGAACGTTGTAAAGAATTTGCTAAAATTTATGTGTTTTGTATGTTTATATGCCATTTGCAAATAGGTAGCAGATAATAGATATACAGATTATGAAAATGATAAGAGGTTATTATACTTTGGCTGAATTATTACTTATTTAGGGTTACTAAGTATATGTATAAATAATATAACCAGAGCTTGGGATATGGATCAGTGGTGGAACCCTTGTCTTCCAAGCATAAGGCCCTGGATTGAATCCCTAGCACCACTAACACAAAAAAAGTTTGACCAGAGTGAGAAGGGAGCAGAGGAATCAAGGAGAAGGAGAATGGGAGAGGAAGAGGACTAGTAATAATAATAACAATAATAATAAGAAGAAGAAGAAGAAGAAGAAGAAACTAGGCATTATAATCACATCACTAGTTATAAAAATAAAGCCACTATACTGTAAAGAAGGCAACAAGCCCCAGCTTTTTAAAATGTTTTTTTCAGCATTGTCACAAAAGTTAA